CGGGAGGAGGCGGGGCGCCGGCCCCAAGTGCGGTCGGCGGCGCTGCGGGCTCCTCGTGGGAGCCGTCGCTTTCCTGGGCCTGACAGCGGCCCGAGCCTGTGTTCTTGGGCCTCCCGGGGGCGGAGGCCTGGACCCAGGTGGATGCCGGGGAAGAGCTGCTTGTTAAAGGCTCAGATTCCAGGCCCCTCTGCCTGAAGTTCCGAATCGGGAGGTCCGGGATGGGATCAGTGTCCCCCCGCCCCGGCCGACCCTCCCCCGCTTTATAAGTGGAAAAATGAAGGCGCGGCGGCCCAGGCCAGCCCGGCTCCTGACGTTTACCCCTCGGCCAGCTCACAGGGAGCGGGAAGAGGGAGGTGTGGGTGTAGGGGGCCGGGGGAAGGGGCTGCTGGTGGCGAGGCTTTATTGAGCATCCGCTCTCCATGGTCACTTGGCTGTTTTCGGAGCCGGACACTTAGTCCTGCCATTCCAGCTGTGGGTTTTCCCGCGCAGCCAGGAGAAGGGGTCGGTCGGGCATTATCCCAGCCACAGAGAAGGAAAGTGAGGTAGAAAAGTCCGGGTTTGGAGCATTGAGGGGTGCCTGGGCCCAAGAGGAGAGAAAGGGTAGGGGTGGTGTGGCTTCCAGATGTAAGCAGCTTGCGGGGAAAAATAAACCGAAATATCCGGTGCATGAGCCGACCTGGGGAGTCGAGACTTGCCCCACTGCCCCTACTCCAGGCTCCCGGAAGTCCTGCTTCTGCCTCTTCCGGCTTCCTGTGTGCCCCAGTTCTGGTTGACTGTGGCAGGAAGGGGCTGGCTATGGGACAGCCCCTAAGCCTGGATTAGTTGCGTGCAGCCCCTCGCAGCTGCTGTGAGCCCCAGGACAGGCCCTGGGTCTCAGGCTCACCCCAAAGTGGTCTGTCCAGAGCTACGAGAAAGTCTGGGGCTGAGCAGTCCATGTAGGTAGCCCTTCGGGCCTCCCTTCCCAGGGCCAGCACAGGGCCTCAGTCCTGGCCATGTGGTCTTGCACCAGAAGGATCCTCAACTCTTCCCACTGTCGCTGAGTGGATGAAGATCTTCCTAGTCACAGGATCCAGTGGTGACAAGGTAGCCGTGATCTTTGCCCTTAGAGTTTATAGGGAACCAGCCAACGCTGAGCAAGCAATTGGCAAATATCTTGTTGGGAATGTTGGTAAATTCCGTAAGAGCAAGTAATGGCAGTGAGGGGATCTGCTTGTGAGCTTTAGGTGGGATTTGAAGAGGCCCAGTAGACAGGGTGACAGTGATCAGTGAGGGGCACACCTGGTGTTCCTGGGGATGGGACAGTGGAAGTCCCAGCCAGCACTTGCAGCCCAGAAACAGAGGCTTCTGTTTGTGGGAGACTCTCTGCGAGGCCAGTCTGCTCTAAGGAGTCTGGCCTGGTTTTGATGCAGCTGCTGCTCCCGACAGAACGGAACTGGCTGTTGCCACCGGCCCTGCCTGCTCTCTGGCATGTCTACGCAGCTGGGGGCTGGACTCTGGGCTCAGGCTGCAACTGTGACAACGTCTCGGCTTTGTGGCCCCAGTGAGGCACTCAGCCTGCCTGGGCCTCAGTCTCCTTGCCGGTCAGATGGGTTGACAAGGTGACCGTGCGCGTTGAGGAGCCCGGCCTGACTCCCAGGACGCTGGGGAAGGGCGGGCATGTGGGAGCAGGAACCAGACAGGCCAGCTGACTCGAGGCCTCTACAGTGGGGCACAGGCCCAGACTCGATGCTTCCTAGGAAGCGGAAGCGCGGGGGCTGTGGGGGACGTGCTGGTGTGGGGGACATGGACGCGGAGCGTCCCTGCGCTGGCCAGCCAGGGGGCTGTCACAGTTCAGTGGCCTCCTCTGGTGGCCTTGTTTAGGCCTTTTGCTCCTGGTGGTAGTACAGCCCACCGTCCTCAGAAGTGTCCCTGAGGGTGGATGAGTGGGGATGGAGTCAGGGTCTGGCAGCTGCCTCCAAGGGCTGTAGGGGTGAAGAGGGAGGCCCGGGAGGGCCTCTAGCCCTTGCCCTCCCCATGCCTCATCCTCCCCATGGAACCCAGGCCCAGGCTCCTTCCCCAGGCACCACGTGGCCTCGCCTCGAGCTGCGGCCTCCGGCCACCTGCCCATTCTGTGCACGTGTTGTGAGTCCTGGCCCTTCATTGGACGTCCCCTCCCCATCTGCAGCTGCCAAGGCCAGGGGAGGTTAGGTGTGGAACTGGCTTCAGCAGTGTACTAGATGCCCGGAGCGTGGAGTTGAGACGGGGCATCAGGGACACCCAGGGGGGCCCTGGACCCCATGCCTTACAACTCGGTGCCCTGCAGCTGCTCCAGAGCTGGCTGGTGCCACCGGGGGGCGGAATCTGGTGGGGATGGAAGTGTGCTGAGCCCCAGAGAGGTGGCTGGATAGGGGATGCTAGGTGGAGGCTGCACCCTTGAACCTTGTGGTGCTGTTGGAGGCTGAGAGAGGTGTAGCCCCCAGCATGGGGGGCACAGGTGTCACGTTGGTGGGAGACGGGGTCCCTGTGGTGGCCATGTCGCAGGCACACAGAGGGCCCTAGGTGACAGCCCGGTGCCCAGCAGTGTGCGTGGAGATCATGGATGCCTGCAGGGACAGACTGGATGTGAGTGTGGGATGGGGAGTAGCTGCTAAGACTCAGAAGAAAGTGCTATGGGATGGGGGACAGCCATGGGGCCCAGTCAGCTTCAGCTTCCCACAGGGTCTGGGTAGTTCCCTGGGCCCAGAGACATCTGAGGGTGCCCTTTGCGTCCTTGGGCTGGAGGGCCCGGCCTAGGTACATGAGGGGCTGCTGGGGCGTGGGTTCTCGTCTATGTTGGGCCTGAGTTCATACCCCTAGTGCAGCTCTGTGCCCCAAACCTCCCTGGGATCTGCGCCGCACCTGGAGCTTGGCCTGCCAAGGCTGCTGTCTCTCCAGCTCCCACCTCAGTTTCCCCGACTTCACCTCGCTCAGCTGGCGGGAGGCCCTGGGTCAGCCTCCTGTGGGAAGGAGCACGTGAAGGGTGGTGCCCGTCCCGGAGGGCTGCCCCAGCTGACCCCAGGTGACTTGGGCCCATCCTGGAGGCTGAGCGCACAGGGGAATGCTCCATGAACATAGCGTGCGCCTGTCTTGTCCCTGCAGCTCTGGTGCTGCTCTTGCTGTGGTGGTGGGATGGCCCCTACCTCCCACCTCAGACAAGCAAGGAGCCGGCAGCTGGGGGTAGGTGCTCACAAGCCGGGGCCCGTCAAGGGAGACGGGCCCAGCCCTGCGGAGGCAGACATTCTGTCTCGGGGTTTCTACCGTCCACCACACCAACTGAATAGACATCTTAGGGACATGACCTCGGAGGAGGAGGGCCTTGGTCTGACCCTTCCCCGCCATCTGCGGGCAGAGACTGGGGCCTTGCCTGAAATCCTGGGCATCCTGCGAACACAGCTTGGGCTGCTGTGCACTCCAGGGCGCAGGGCTTGCGTGAGGACAGGGGACACAGATGCAGGGCCCTGATCATGGCCAGCACTTGAGCTGCAGGTCAGGGGTGGCTGCCAGATTTCAGAGCCTGGGGTTGAGGCCGTCCTTCGTTTGCAGGTGGGGAGACCGAGGTTTGCAGCCGGGAGGTGATGTTTGAGCAGACCAGCTTCTGAGAGGGGGCAACCCAGGTAGATGTCTGCTGGGACAGGGGGGACGGGGCAGTGGGAGTGGCCAGGTTGGGTTGTTTCGGGCTGCCAGGTGACACGTGGAGCAGCTGGGCTTGGGAGGCACAGGGACCCCTGAAGACAGTGGGGTGACAGGCTCAGGGCACCCGGGAGCGTCAGCAAGCCTCAGTAGTGGATGAGGGGACACTGGTTTCCAGGGGGGCAGGCGAGGTCAGGGTAGGCCTGGCTGTGTGGCGCGGACCCAGGGCAGGCCGGGTGCTCAGGGGAGAGAGAGACGAGGCTCCACTAGGACCCAGTGGGGTTCCAGACCTTCCTGCCGACCCAGGGCCGGCCGGGTGTTGTGGGCGGGCTGGAGCGCCGGTCGTCTGTGCACGAGTGTTCGGGGCCTGCTGACTCCCCGCTTCTTGACCTCAGTCACCACAGACTCACGTGCAACAACGTCTGCCTGTGTCTCTCCCCTCCCCTGGGGCAGCGAGTGTCTGTGCTTCTCTCCTGTTCACGACTGAGTGATGGGGTCTGGTGTGTGGAGGGACATGTGTGACCATGGATGGACACTTGGCTTGTGTCCTCCTTTTGGCCACTGCGGACGTGCGTGGGGGTGTTCCGTGTGGACTTGTGGGCTCATGTGACTGTAGCTGTTGGGGGCCCTGCCCTGTGTCACACCCCTGCCGGCCATGTCGGGGATTCTGATGTCTCCGCCTTCTCGCCACGCTGGTCACTGCCAGCTTCGTGGGCCTGGCCATCGGGTGGCTGTGAGGCGTGCCCTGCTGGTCCTGGGCCCGGGCCCGGGCCCGCTTCCCTGCTGTCTGGCCGGCCACCTCCTCTCTCACCTTGTTGCCTCTCATGCATTTTTGGAGAAGTGTCTGTTCTGCTCCTTTGGCCGCTTTTTAATGGGTTGTTTGTCTTTTTGTCATGGAGTTGTACGAGTTCCTCTAGAATTCTGGGTACACGTCCCCCTGCATCCTCGGCTCAGATGGTGTCCTTTGACCTCTGAGCTCCCCTTTTGCTTTTGGCAGCATGGCAGGTAAAGGGACAGGGCATGCACTGTGGTGGTCCCGCCGCCCCCTGGGCTCCCTGGGACTGTGACCCCCGGAGTGCACATCCCTGCCTCTCCCACTCAGGATACGGGCTGTGTCTTGGGCAGGAGCACCTCAAGCTCGTCTCGCCTCTGTATGGCTTTGGGAACACGTGTGAGCCCTGGGCCTGGGCCTGTTCTGGGACCACAGGATGGTTTTGGTGTTCGCATGCCTTGCCGTAACCACCCCCCCAACACACACATCACGGTTTCAGCCCGCTGGCTGGCGGCCCTGGGCCAAGTGAGGGCTGGGAGGGGACATGGCCAGTGCAGACAGAGCTCAGCTCCAGTCTGGGGTGACAGGCCGGTCCTTCTGCCTGGGCGGTTCCTCCCACTGTCGGTGGCCCCCTTCCTGGGAGCTGACCTGCTCTGGAGCCCCGCTGGTTCTTCTTGCAGCCTGCCTGGGGCCACGTTTGTCTCCTTTACGTGTGCACAGGGCCGGGGTGTCACTCAGAGAATGTTCTCGTGTCCCCGCAGTCAGGAAAGTTCTCTGGACTCACGTCAGCTGGCTTGTTGCTGCAGGCCTTGTCAGAGCCTTTGTCAGCTGATGTGGCTGGGTGGAGGCCCTGAAACTCTGACTTCTGTCACCATGGGGTGCACAGGCTCGGGCTCGGGGGCATGGGAGGCAAGGAGATCACCTGGGAGCTCAGGCCCCAATGGCGAGAGGTGCAGTCGAGGCTATAACTGTGGGTGAGGGCGTCACCCTGTAGTCCTGCCCAGGCCTCCGCTGGACCCAGCCTTGGATCTGGTGGTTTCACATGGGTGGCCTCGAGGTGCCACCTGTCCTGGGACCCGCTGTGGCCCAGAGATCACGCTCCCCTGCTCTCCTCCTGCAGGATTACATCTGCCCGAGATGTGAGTCTGGTTTTGTTGAGGCGTTTCCAGAAGTGATCGGGTAAGGCTGCCCCTGGTCAGAGGCCTTGGGCCAGGGGCGGTGTTGGGGGGGCCTTGGTGGCAGGGGCTGGGTGGTCTGAGGATGGCACGAGGTTGTTAGGATTCTGGCCGTCCTGCCTTGGGACGTACGCAGGGGTGGCGGAGAGCACCTGGAGGCCCGTGGGGGTGGCGGGGTCCTGCCCTTTTCCAGCGGGACGCCCCCGCTGCTGATGGCGCTGTGCCCTTCCAGGAGTACAGAGAACGGCTCCGCCCCCTCCACGGACCAGAGCAGGCAGCCTTTCGAGGTGAGCAGCCCTGCCCTCCCCGAGACCCTCTCCATGTGGGGCATTTCTTTCCCCCAAGCCTCAGGGCCTTCCGGGTGCCACCTGCCCTCCACCTGGCGCCCTTGCCCATGGCGGTCACAGCCGTCCTCTCCACAGAACGTGGACCAGCCCCTGTTCACGCTGCCACAGGGCTCCGGGCACTTTGCTTTCGGCATCTTTGATGACAGCTTCGAGATCCCCACGTCCCCCCCAGGGGCTCAGGCCGATGATGGCAGGGACCCCGAGAGCCGGCGGGAGAGAGAGCAGCACTCCCGGCACCGGTATGGCGCCCGGCAGCCCCGCGCCCGCCTCACTGCACGGCGGGCCACCGGCCGGCATGAAGGCGTCCCCACGCTGGAAGGGTGAGGGGGCCTGGGGGGCTGTCGGGTCGGGTGGGTCACTCTGAGGCTTCCAGCCATCTGTCCTTCCAGGAAGGAGGTTCTGTGGGCGAGGAGGTGTGGATGCTGACGGGGGCCGCCTCTGGGTCCTTGGTGGGTCCGGGCTGGGAGCAGGGCAGGGGTGGGGGGGTGGCGGAGGCTGAAGTGTGGTCCCGAGAGGGGCCTTCTTCCTGTCGGTGTCTTCATTTGCTCAGGGCACTGATCCATATCCCGGTGCCGTCCCAGGGCCAGCACCCCACAGCAGCCTCTGTAGGCCCTGTCTCATCCCCAGGGGAGACAGGCCTGAGCTTCCCGTGCATCTTTGTAGGTAAAACGTGACTGTCATGACTGTCATGACTGTCGGCAGGCTAGTTCCTGCCTCACCGAAACGGCATTTTAACCCACGCAGAGCTGCTTCCCTCCCTGTGAGTTGAGGTCTTTCCAGCATAGGTCACAGCCTGTGCCTGGTGGTGCCACCATACTCTGGGCTCACCATGGCCTTGGCTGGCATGTTACAGGGCTGCTGCGAATGGGACAGCAGGGCTGACCCTATGACTCCCAGGACCTCTGGGATGCAGTGTGGTGCATCCCCCCCCCCCCAGGTTGTGAAACGGGGACTGGACACAGTTGTATGTCCACAGACGCCATCCAGGCCTCGAGAAGACCCTGCCCTGGGCATCTGTCGTGTTTGGTTCTTTTTTCTTACTAGTTGACAGCCGAGCCTCTAAACACTGGACACTCATTTGCTCTGCCCCCTCCCCTGGGAGGGCACTGACCACAGCCTGGCCTTGCTCTGTTCCAGGATCATCCAGCAGCTGGTCAACGGCATCATCACTCCGGCCACCATCCCCAACCTGGGCCTGGGCCCCTGGTGAGTAGGTGGGGGGGCCCCCTGTGCCCTGCCCAGCCCCTCTGCCACTTGAACCCAAGACCTCTCTGCCCAGGGGAGTCCTGCACTCAAACCCGATGGACTACGCCTGGGGGGCCAACGGCCTGGATGCCATCATCACGCAGGTATGGGGCTTCCCTCAGGTTGGCACTGGGGATGAGGACTGTGACAGGCCCCTGCTCCCTGGAGGATGGCGGACATGGGCGTCACTCCCTGCCCTCTGTAACTCCCCACCCTGAGCCGGGGTGTGCCAGCCAGCCAGACGGCTTCCTCCCAGTACCGTGGGTCAGGAGACCTACGCCTTGGGCCCTGTGGGTCTGTGGGACCTCCAGAACCTGCCCAGGGATGGGGTGTTTCCCATGACCTCGGTGGTGACCCACCGGAGCATTTTGTTGCTGGCAGCTGACCCCCAGTGAGGCAGAGCCTTGGCCCTTGGCCCTGCCCTGGCCATGAGGGGACACTGACTGAGCAGGAGCACAGGCAGAAGGCTGTGGCTGGGCCTCAAGGGGCGGCTGACCTCTGACCCCCCAGGGGGCCCGGGCCCAGGACAAACGGGGCCACGGTGCTTTTGCAGGTAACCCAGCCTAGCATTTCAGAGACCCATGGGTGAGGGGCCCACCCACCGACCGAGCTTCCTGCACTCTGGCCTCTTGTCTTTCAGCTCCTCAATCAGTTTGAAAACACAGGTCCCCCACCCGCAGACAAAGAGAAAATCCAGGCCCTCCCCACTGTCCCCGTGACCGAGGAGCACGTAGGTACGCGCCCACGCCCAGACCCTTCCGACTCTCCCTGCACCTTGGACCAGCAGGCTCCCCCAGGACCCCAGGGTCATGCTCTCCTCCGCTCTGCAGGCTCGGGGCTGGAGTGCCCCGTGTGCAAGGATGACTTCGGGCTGGGTGAGCGTGTGCGGCAGCTGCCCTGCAACCACCTCTTCCACGACGGCTGCATCGTGCCCTGGCTGGAGCAGGTGAGCAGGCGGGCCGGCCCCGGCCCCGACCCCTGGCCCTGCCCGCCTCTGAACCGCCCACCCTCTCCCCTCTGTCCCCACAAAGCACGACAGCTGCCCCGTCTGCCGGAAAAGCCTCACCGGACAGAACACAGCCACCGACCCCCCGGGCCTGGCCGGGGTGAGCTTCTCCTCCTCCTCGTCCTCCTCCTCCAGCTCGCCCAGCAACGAGAACCCAGCAGGCAGCTCCTGAGTGCCCCGGCTGGTCCCAGGGTGAGCGCCGGGCTGGCGGGGCAGGCTGGACGCTGCGGCCCCCACACCACTGTGCCCCATGGACTGCACTGCCGGCCTGCCTGCGTGGGCAGAGGCCTGGAGGACCCTTCCCTCCAGCTGCGGAGGAAGCTCGACCTTCCAGAAGGACGTCCCACGGCCGGGCCTGCACACGGCACAGCCGCCCGGGCGCCCTGCCTCCCCTCCCGTCTGTCTCTGACCTCACCCTGTAGGTGTTCAACGGCGGAAAGGTTTTTATAACTTCCAGTTGCTACCGCTTTGAAATAAACGGACGTTTTAGCTCACGTGCGGCCCTGCATGATCTGTGGAGACATAGGGTGGAGCCACTCGGCTGGGGTCCCAGCACTGCATGGACAGGCCGCCACTCCCCACCCTGAGTGCAGTGGCTCGGGACCACCAGGATGACCAGCACCACGAGGACAGAACTGCTCTGACAGACGTTTTTTAAAGGAGAAAAATATGTGTATCTTGAAAGCTATTTAAAAATACACCTACTTAGAAAGAGAAGCAGGTGGTTGGCGTGTTCCTTGTGCGCGCGCAGAGAGCTGGCCGCAGCCCCCAGACCCCAGCCCGGAGGCGGACCGGCAGAGTCACTTGGCTCTCTCGGCTGCAGTGGGTGACCGGTCTGCTCACCCCATCCCATCTCTAGCCCTGCTCACCCCACGAGATCTGAGGGGCTCTGAGGACTGACTTCAGTTTGACACCATGTGTGGGTCTCAGAGGGCAGCTGATTTGGCAACAAATCACCAAAACTTGGTGGCTTAAAACAACACACGTTTATCACCTCACAATCCTGGGCTCACAATTCCAATCAGGCCTTATGGGGCTAAACCCAGGCCTGGGGGGTGCTGGTCCCTCCGGAGGCTCCAGGGAGAAGCGGCTCCTGCCTCTTCCAGCTTCTAGAGGCGCCGCATCCCTGGCTCGCGGCCCCTCGGTGCATCCTCACCGCCAGCAGCGCAGCATCCCCCGTCTCTCTTTGACTCTGACCTCCCGCCTCCCTCTGATAGGGACCTTGTGATGACATGGAGCCCTCCGGGAGTCCAGGGTCACTTGCATCCCGGGAGACTTAACCCCACCTGCAGAGTCCCCTCTGCCCTGTGAGGTGACAGGTCTGCAGGTCCTGGGGCTAGGACCTGCCGCTCCATGGTATGCTGGTGTCCCCCTCTCCCCCAGCCCCCCCCCCACTCTGCCCCAGCCTCCCCACCTCCTTGCTGCCTCAAACACCCCAATGGGTTCCCACCTCCGAGCCTCGGCCTAGGCTGTGTCCCAGATCTGGCCACCACGTGGCTGCATCCTTGTCTCTAGCCCGGCAGGTGCCCTGCTGAGGTCCCCTCATCCCCCAAACTTGTGGTTGGACATGCACGGCCCCTGCTCAGCTGTGTCCCCCTCCCCTTGGAGCCAGGAGCTCCCTGAGGGCCAGGCACATCTGGGGGGCCCTGCGGTGTCCCCAGTGCTCGCACACCGCTGGCGCTCAACGCACGGGAAACGAATGAGGGACCGAAAAGATGCCAGGTGGCGGCCTAGGCCTTCTCCAGCCTCCCGCCTCCGGCCACCCAGTCGCCACATCCTCGGAATCTCAGTCTGGCGGTTCCTCACCGACCCTGAGGCCTCAGGAGACCAGGACAGGCAGGAAGTGGGTGGACAGCTGGTGTCGCTGTGTCCGGCCACCGCGCCTCGGGGCCCCCCGCCCGTCCAGCGCCAGGAACATGGGCCGGCCGCGGTGGCGCCAACGCACAGACGCGTAGGTGTTGTAGCCATTCTCCTCGATGCGCTCCTGGAACCTGCAGTGCACAGTGTAGACCCGCTGCGGGGCCGGGCCGTGAGGAGGCCACTGGACACACCTCCCACCGGACACGCGCACACCCGCACCCCAGCCCACCACGCACACTCACCGAGCCATAGAGGCGACCACGGCGGCTCATGGCCACGTAGAAGCCAGTGTGCAGGGCTCTGAGCGCCACTACGCCCACGCGGATGGAGCGGATCTCAAGTACGCCTGCGGGGAGGGGCTTGGTCAGGGCCCGCCCGCCAGCCACGCCCTCGATCCCTCACCCTTCATTCATCAGGGTAAAGTTCCCCCAGGACCTACTGTATGTCTGACCCTGTGCTGGGTGTGAGGACGCACCAGGGACTGCAAGACTCCTGCCAGCATCTGCCCTGAGGCTGCAGGAGAGACACTGGGGAGGGTGCGAAGGCCTGAGGCAAGACTTGGCCTGATAGAGAGCGGTGTGTCGGGGGTCAGGGGATAAGGGGAGGGGTCAGGCCTTTCTCTGGAAGGCACTGGGGAGCCACAGCAAGCTTTGGAGCAGGGGTGGGCTCTGTAGGTCAAGGGCAAGAAAACCAAGCCAGAAGAGGTGAGTGCCTGCCAGGTGATCTGCAGCTATCAGTAAGGACAAGTAGTGAGTGAGAGATGTAGACACCCTAGCATGAGCACAGTCCCCACTGCTGCTACTGCTGTTTCCACGTCCAGACCTCCCTGGCAGCTCCGCCAGCCCAGCCATGACCGGTTCTGGGGCAGACAACTCCAAATGGAGGCACAGCCCAGGCAGCAGCCTAGGGGTGGGACATAGGGTGTTTCTAGCACACTATATTTAGATCAATGACACAGGCTAACACTGCTTGTGCGCTGACTGTATGCCAAGCATTGGACCCCATCAAACGCAGACAGCTGCCCCAGGTGGGATGTACTGACTATGCCCACTTCCCAGGGTGGGACATGAGGCCTGGGAAGTGACAGAGCTAGTTTCGGGCCCTGTCTATTCACGGGTGACCCTGGGCAAGCCTTGCCTGATCTGAATGGATGTTTCTGGTCCAGTGAGGCGGGGCTAAGGGAGAAGCCACAGCCCACACTCTGAGCCCCACCCAGGCACTAGGGCCTACTCTGGAGTCGGGGCCCTGCTCTCTGGTGTTCAGCCTGGACCTGGATGCCTGAGACGATGGGGAGCTCACCCCTGCCCCAAAGGACCTTTGCACCTGCTACTTCCTAAGCCAGGCACTCAGCTCCTCCTGTGCACGGCCAGCTCCTCTCTCTACATGAGGCTCCACTCAAGCCCACCTCCTCGGAACAGCCTCTGGACCTCTCAGATAAAGCAGCCCCCCAGTTTTTCATTTTATTTGCAGCCCTGACACAGCCCCCTTGGAAATGATCATATTACTTGCTCACTGTTCCGCTGTTAAGCTTTCTCCTCTGCTCTGGGAGCTCCATGAAGGTGGGCTGCCTTGGTCACTGCGTGTCCCCCGTGCCCAGCACAGCATACAGGAGGTGGCCAGTTAACAATTAACCATCAAGCATCATCACCCCTACAGCTGCCCAGATGGGGAAACCAAGTCTTACAGAGAAGCAGCAGCAGTCCCAGGTCACCCAGCAGAGCCAGGCCTCATCCCCAGCCTGAGGCCACCCTGCCTGGCTGTGCCCAGGGCCAGGCGACCGGCCCAGCCAGTCCCCTTGTCCTTGCCCTCACCTGGTTAGCCTAATGAGGGCCTTGAGAGCCCCAGATGAAAGCAGCTGGGATGGGCAGGGGTGATTATCTGCCCTAATGGTGGTGATTCAGGCCATGGCCAGCACTGGGCCCAGCTCCCCACGTCCCCTCCCGGGCTTCAGACCTATGGGGACATAGAGGCAGGCCTGTGGGTCATCGACTTATCCCCAACCTCCTCCTCTCTTTCATTGCCTCTTTGTCTCCTCCTGCCCCATACAGTCCAGAAACACTCACTGAGTGCCTGCTGTTTGCTGGGCAGGGCAGCAGGGACGTAACTCCAGCCTTGGTGAGATTCTGGGCACCGTGGAGCCCAGATCCAACCCACCCCACCCCAGGTAGGTTACTGCCCCTCTCTGTGCCTCGGATTCTCATCTGCCAAACGGGTAGATCTAGGAAGAAACAGAGGGGTCCCCAACTCAGGCAGGTCCTGAGTTTGGTTTTCCTGGGTGGGGAGTTCAGAGTTCAGACCCCAGCTATACCCACACCTCTCATTATGTACTGGGCCCACAGGTGCCCTTCCTGGAACCGGTTTCCCCTCTGTAAATGGGCCCTGTGACCCCAACTTCAACTATCCCGCAAAGACACTTCTGCTGCTGAGCCAGGCCCAGAGCTGGGAGCTTTCTCTGTGACCTTCACCTCAGCTGTCCAACCCTCCATCCATGTGGGCTGGGCCCATTTTACAGCTGAGGAAACTGAGGTCCCTTGCGGGCAGTGACTTGGCCAACGCCGAGCAGCCAGAGGAGCCTCCCCACCCTCCCTCGAGTGAGAGACAGACAGAAGCCCCGCCCATCGCTATCATTACTGGTGCCTGGTTCTTGTCCGCCTGTCTGCCTTGTACCCTCGCCCCACTCCCCTGGCAGCGCCCCCGGCTACTCACTGTCAGGGCTGTGGCGCCAG